TCGTCTGCCGTCGTCGGTGAGGGGGGATCGAGCTCTTCGGGGCGTTTTTTGAGCCGGTTCTGGTCAGCGCTTTTGGTCCCCCCCCCACACGAGTCGTTTCTGGGAAGCTCTAGGGGCAGCGAACGTGGCACTCCTTTTGCAGGTAAGGGTAGGAGGCTCGCCTGTCGGGTGCGTATTCCTGTCCCGACGCTTGCTATGAATGCTTCGGCGTCTGTGCGGACGAGGCGTCTGAACTTGTGCGTGTGCCACCAAGGTTAATCGACATAAGCTTCTGCCGCTGCTACTGTTTCCCCTCCTGCTCCTCCTCCTGCTCCTCCTCCTCCTCCTCCTCCTCCTCCTTCCTCCTCCTCCTCCCACAGGAGTGGGTATTCAAGGAGTACGCTCTGCCCAAGGCTCCCGACGTGCTGAACGGGGCAGCGGCGGTGCCAGAATTTGAGTACCCGACGCTTCAGGCGACCTCAGGAGGAGGGAGAGGGGAATGGAGGAGGAGGAGGAGGAGGAGGAGGAGGACGAGGACGAGGAGGAGGAGGAGGAGCAGGATGAGGAGGAGGACTCGGAGGAGGAGGAGGTAGAGGAGGAGGAGGAGGAGGAGGAGGAGGAGGAGGAGGAGGAGGAGGAGGAGGAGGAGGAGGAGGAGGTAGGGGAGAAGGTAGGGGATGGAGATAGGGGAGGAGGTAGGGGAGGATGAGAAGGAGGACATGTAGGAGATAGGTGGGTACTCTACACTGGGTTGAATCGTTTTCGAAGGGCTCTGGGGGATTCGAAGTGGGGTCTGGGAAAGGAGGGGGAGGAGAGGACGAAGAGGACTCGGAGGAGGAGGAGGAGGTACGCGGCTTCTCTTGCTGTGGAGGGACGATGTGGCTACGCCTGCTTGGACGCGGACTGTCTATCTGTATCTATATGCCGTCATACTCAGAGGCGTGCGTGACCATGCGTCAGCTCCTTCGCACACTTGCCCTCATGGGAGTTGTTTCAAAAGTATTGCGGTGTTCCCTGCAGCATGGGCTGTCAATCCTGGTTCAGCATGTATCCTTCTTTCGGGTAGCCTATATCAGCATTCTCACCACGTCGAGCCTCAGAACGTCTTGTCGGGTTGCAAGTGTTCTTTGGCAGGCTGCGGCGGGCGATACGATATGCCTTCTTTTCAATTGTGCTGTTCGGCGCCTCTAGGGCATACATCACTGTTGTCCCCAAGCTTCGTGCACGCGGTGCGTACTATTGTTGAGAGCAGTGGTTGTTGTGCGATGGTACGTTTTGGTCTGCGTTGTCTTGACAGCAGCGACTCGGAGACATGCTGGCCAGATGCCAAGCGCACACGTGCTCGACACTCGCGGCGCCCCACAGTGAACAAATAATGCGTGATTCATGCGTCTCTTCGACCTCGTCTTTCGCATCACGATAATTGCCCAGCCCTGTTTTAATATGGTATCGGCCCCCATGTTTGACAGAGATGCAAACTTTCGATGCATGCCGCGGTGCTGAGAGGACAGCGCGAGTTTGGAAACGATACGCAAGCCTTGGGCGCGTAATTTGCACAGGGGGTCCAATCAATAGTGTTTCTGGGAGAAGTCCAGCTCTATACTATAGGCTCGAATTGTTCCAGCGAAGACAATCTACATGAACATGTGCCGACGCTCGGAGCTATTAGGATCAGATGAGCGGGCGATATACACAGAACACGATTTGGCAGAAGCGGTCCGCCCTTCATGTGGGTGTGGGGCCATAATTCGGGCCGTGGGAGGCGACACCACGACTCTGACAGCAGCCCACCCTCCATGTCTGCAGTCTTGGTGGCATCCCACGCTTCATCCGCCACTCCGTGGCAAACACTGGCGGTGCCGCCTCGCGCTCGAGGTAACGAACCTCCAGTTCTCCTACGTGCCGGGCGCGCCGCTGAACGTGCACGGAGCCGCCGCGGCGTGCCTCCCGCAGCTGTGCGCGCGTCAGCGCGGGGCGGCTCGGCGCACGACGGCGGCGACGGCGACGGCGACGACGACGGCGGCGGCGGCGGCGGCCGCGGCGGCGGCGGCGGCGGCCGCGGCGGCGGCGGCGACGTCGACGACGACGGAGACGACGACGACGCGCCCTCTGGCCCAGCACGCGCCTCGCCCCCTGCAGCATGCGGGGGGCGGCGTGCGGCATGGCGTGTGCACCCGAAACCGGGGTGACCCCCGCCGTTCTCGGGCGAGCAATTTGGCCGTGGGGCGCCGCGCCGTGCCCAGCAGGGCGCAGAGCGGGAGCAGTCTTCAAGCAGTGGCGAAGCGTCCCAGCCTGCCTACGGCCATACCAAACAATGGTCTAAGAACCTTTTGAGGTTCCAACGAAATTTTCTTAGAACATTTCTGGCGAAGCCTGTCTTGTTTTATCACACCTGGTTGATGTTCTAAGAACATGGTTTGTGTGTTTAGAACATTTTTGGGGTTCTAAGAACCTTTCGTGGTAGGACTATAGGAATGCCGGGACAGTCGGTCCCCGCGGCCCTGGGCGGCGTGGGAGCCGGCGGTTGCCGAGGGGAAGTGCGCCGGCGCTGCAGCAGCTGCGAGGATCCCAGAGCGGCGGGTGGCGGAGCAGGCCGGCAGCGCGGCTGCGGTGCGGCTCTCCCCCCAGGCATGCTATGCCATAGTTCTTCGGTACGGGGTCCCCAAGAAGTCCTCTCCCGAGGGCCAGCTGTTTTCACCCCGAGCCTTCTCTTGGACGGTCACGGGGCCCTGCGAGGGCCCCAGGAGGCCGGGGGCGGCAAAGCGCCTCCCGCCGTTTTTTCCAGCGGCGCGAGCAGGTCTGAGCCCCGCTCCCCCCCCCCCCCCGTATTGCCCCGCCCCGTCCCCCGCGGCGGAGCGGCCAGGAAGGGTGTCGGGCGGCGGGGGAGGCGTCTGGGCTTCATGTCCGGTCGCCCACTAAAGCCGCAGGTGCTTCTTCCTGGTCATATGGGAGCACAGCGCGTGCTGTGTGCCGAAATGGGCATGCGGACAGTGAGCAGGCGCAGGGCGAGGAGAAGCAGCAGGAGGGAAAGGGCGAGGAGGAGGAGGAGGAGGAGGTGAGACGCGCGGCGCTGCTGTCCAGATCACGGGCCTAATAGCGTGGCTTCTTGAATCGCGCAAGGTGCGCCCACTACGCTCCTCGTTCTCTGGCGATCGTCGGCTCGGCGTCCTTTCCTGCGCCGCCGTGGCCGCGTCCCTTCCCGGAGGCGCGAGCTCGACGGGGGGTGGTCCAGGGTTGTGGCTTTCGTGTGCTTTTGTTTCGCCCCTCGTCATTTCTTTTGTTTCGCCCCTCGTCGTTCTGCCCTTTCCAGTTCCTCCCTCTACCTGCCCCTCTCGCTCCCCCCCATTCTCCGTCCCCCCTCTTCCCTGCCCTTCCCCTGTGCCCCTCTCCTCCACCCCTCCTTTGCCTCTCCCTGCCCCTCCCCCCAGCCCCTCCCCCTTCCTCATCCGGCTGTCTCCACGCGCTGCCTCCCCCCACGGGGCCTCTCGGGCCCCATCCCAGCGAGCCAGAGTCATCCCGAGTCAACTGTTTCCAAAGGTCTCGGGGCCCGAAACGGGCCTCTTGCGGCCCAGCACGTAGAACAACATTTGGTAATCTCGAATGTTTGCGTCGCCGAGATCTGAGGGTCGTCGCCCAGTCGGCGCGTACGAGGGGGTTTGAGCGAGGGGGGTGCACCCCTGTAAGGAAGCCGGGGGGCCATTTTAGCAGACCGTCTGCCTTACTCCAGGAAGCTTTCGAGCTCCCGATCCCGTCTTCAGAAGCCCCCTGGCCTTCTTCGAAGGCCCCCTGCCCCGCGCCCTTCTGCGCGCCCGGCGGGCGACCTTCCCGAAGAACTGGCGCGCGACGCTCCCGACAACTGGCAGGGAGACCGCAGCCATTGGGGCCCGACTGAACCCAAGAACGGCGCGCGTCGGCCCGAAAACTGGCACGGCGCACCGGGCAGCCGGGGGGCTTTGCAGGCCCACGTTGGAGGGCTGGAAGCTCCGCTGGTCTGTCCCGCCCATCCTCCCCTTCCCAAGAAAAGGCAGGAGGGGGGAAAACACACAGACACAATCAATCGTCGATTTCCAAGAAAAGATGGGAAAATATGGGAAGTGGGGGGAAGACGAAAATCCAAAGCATACAGAAAAATATAGGGAATCCTGGGATTTGTGTGTAGTTATTTGTGTGTCCCTGGGCCCCTTCAGCAAGGTCCTCGCCCCCGTCGGCAGCGGCCGCCCCCTGCGCCGCGCGGCGCCGAGGGGCGCCCCGGTGCCGGGCCCCCGCCTTCCGAGCGGGGCAGGACGTGGGATCCCCGCTGCTCACGCGGCAGAGATGCTGCCGGTCGCCCTTCGGATCCTCTGTCAAGCAGTGGCGAAGCGTCCTGGCGTGCCTACACCTAGTCCTACACATTGTTCATGTCTTATTGTTCGAAAGTTCTTTAATTTGTTTGGGGGCAAGACCCTTTCGTTTGTAATTGTTCTATCCTGGGCATCTTCCTAGGGGGCCAGGAACGAGTAGAAACGAGCACAATTAGAAATGATCGCGATTAGACATGAACGTTGTGTACCAAACAATGTTCTAAGAACATTGTGTGGTCTGCACGAAATGTTCTTGGAACATGTCTGGTTGAAGTTGCCCTGTTTTCTAACACAGTGGACACCTGTTCTAAGAACACGGGTTTTGTCCTTAGAACATGTTCGGGTTCTGAGGACATTTCGTTGTAGGCCTGCAGGAATGCCGGGACGGTCGGTCCCTGCTCAATGGCAGGGATGCTCCCGGTCGCCCTTCGGATCCTCCGACTCGCCCGCTGGGGCGCGACGACGACGTCGTCTCCCCCTTCGCGGCTCGTGCCCGAGCGGCTGCCCTTCTCCAGAGGGGGGGCGGCGCGAGGGCGCGAAGGAGGGTGTCCCAGGACCCTCCGAGAGAAAGCTGGCAAGACCCCCTCTTTCGGGGG